ACCTGTATCCCAAAAGAAAAGCATAAAGATCTCTATTTTTAAAGGGAGTGCATGTAACATATATATAAGATTTTTCTCCCAAACTCACTAAAAAAAATTAAAACAAATAACGAGGGATGCCTGGGTGGCTCAGTCAGTTAAACGTCTGCCTTCGGCTCAGGTCATGATTCCAGGGTCCTGGGATCGAGCCCCGCATTGGGCTCCCTGCTCTGCGGGAAGCCTGCTTCTCCCTCTCCCACTCCCCCTGCTTGTGTTCCCTCTCTCACTGTCTCTCTCTGTCAAATAAATAAATAAAATCTTTAAAAAAAATAAATAAAAATAAAAACGTGTTTCTCATATGTCAGGGATAGGAGGCTGTTGTTACCAAGGCTAATACATGCCTGAGAAATCTACTGAGTGACTCTAAAGTAAGGACAAATATTTCATGCTAAGCTGTGGAAAAGTTTTGATTAGAAAGGTGTCCCCGAATGGTATCATTAAAACTTATGAAAGTAAGTTTCACACCTAGCAAAATTTAGAGTAAAACTGCAACAACTATGTCCTCGTTCAAGGAACAAACCAAGAATGAGTCAAAAGTTGATTTCACCAAATTGTGACTTTGATAATACAGTATCTTGTACTTCACAGTTGACTTTCATAGCATGATCTTAGAAAAAGGTAATTTTTATAAAAAATGTTCAAGGCAGCATTCATTTCCCCAACAGCTTCTTCCAACTCTTTTGCAAATCATCTTTGGAAGTGTTAATTTTGTCATCATCTTTCTTGTATTTCTCTCCTCTAATTGTTAATTTAGCTAGGTCATCGTGGTCAACTTCATGGAAGCCTGAATTATTTTTCAACTTCATCAAGGCCTGTGTACTTCCCAAGATTTGCACTTGCATTTTGCACTGGTACTGTATTCTATCAACATGACATTAACTTTGAGAAGACCAACAAAAATAAGAATTCAACCTAACAGACCCTTTAGGACATGAATATCTGAATAAGAACTAATCTTACACATGGTCAACTCATTAAAATTTTTATGTCAATGCCAACTTTTATGTTCATATGTAATCTTCTAGCTGCAGAGACTCAAATAGTGAATGATGAAATAATGAGGACTTTGCCACACACAAAACCAGAATGTGGAAAGGCATTTGACAGGAGGGGGCTTCCTTTGCAGCCCTAGCAAAACATTACCCAACCCTTGTCTCATCTGTTCAAAGTTCACTCATGTTAAGCTACCTAGTACAGTTATCTAGTACCTGGAAGCTTTGTATAACCCTTAACAGTTTTCTTTTTTTTCCTTCTGTAAGTCTCTTATTATTGATTCAATACTTTAAAATGTCTTAATTTCCCGGGATGCTGTTAACTCTCCAACAAGAATTTCCTCCCTCCTTTTCCTTTCTTCCTATAGAGGAGGAAACAAGCAGATCCTTATTTTCCCACCACCCCTGAAGTAGGTTAGACATGTGACTCAATTTTGACCAATTAGATGTAAGAGGAAGTCTACGGTAGACCTTATGGGAAATGTATTCCTCTTGCTACAAGGAGAGAAGCCTATGAAGAGAAATTTTTCTCTCTTTCCCCTAGCTATCCCTCTCCTTCTTGCCTTTGAATGTGGTCCAATGAACAGGTCTTGCCTGACATACAAGGTGACAAACCTAAAAGAAAAAAAGCCAAAAATCTGCAGATTGTGGTTTGGAAGGAGAGAAAGAATCTAAATTCTGGGTGATGTTACTGACTCACTAATTCAACTGTGGCACTACTTACCTCTGTAATCCTTGTAAGATGAACTGTTTTATCTGCTGCTAGTTGGCTTTTGGATTCTTTACAGGTGGAAGCATTCCTATTGATATAGATTCATTCATTCAACAAATATGTACCCAGTCCTACTGTATGTCAAGTACTGTTTTAGGACCTGAGGGTACTGCAGAACAAAACTAAGTTCTTGCTCTCATAAAGCCTGCATACTATTAGGAGTGGGGAACAGATAATAAATAAATGCATTATGTATCAGGCTGTGATCATTGCTGTGAAGAAAAAGCATGATAAAGAGATGGAGTGTGTGTGTGTGCTGTTTTACATAGTTTGTGAAAGCCTCTCTGATAAGATATTTGAGCAGGGACCAGAAGGAAGTGAGGAAGCAAGTAATAAGGGTATTTGAGTGTGGTTAGCAGCCTCTAGGACAGTCCCTGATGACCTCCATCTCCTTGTTCATGCCCTGTGTGGGCCCCTTTCCTTGAGTGTGACTTACTGACTCCTAAGGAACAGAATAAGGTAGATGTGAAAGATACGACTTCTGAGATTAGATCACAAAAAAAATGGTGACTTTTGACTGGGGCACCCTCCCTAGCTTGTTTGTTCTGAAAGAAGGAAGCTGTCATGTTGTGAGAGAGCCCTGTGATGCGGGAGGGAGAGGCCTGCCAACAACCACTTGAATGAGCTTGAATATGGATCCCCGCCAACCCCAGTTGAGCCTTCAGATAAGACGACAGCTTCTATTCACAGCCAGACTACAACCTCCCAAGAGCCCCTGAGCCAAAGGCACTTAGCTAAGCCACATTATGGATTCCGACCACAGAAACTATAAGCCAATAGATGTTTTTTATTTTTGTTTTTGTTTTTTTTTTCTTAAGCCACTACATCTTGGGGTAGTTTGTTATTTTACAATCGATAATGATCTGGGAGAAGGGCATTCAGGCAGGGTTTACAAGTAAATGCAAAAGCCCTAGGGCAGCAGTGTGCTAAATGTGCTTAAGGAATAGGCAAGTGGCTGATGTGGCTGAAGCAGATAATTTCATTTCATTTTTTTTAAGTAAACTCTACCCCCAACGTGGGGCTCAAACTCACCCCAAGATCAACAGCCACATGCTCTATTATCTGAACCAGCCAGGCACCCCAATTTCATTCCATTTTTTTTGCACTGAAATAGTCTGGCTGGGAAAATGAGACAAGGGAAGGGGGAAAATAATGGCAAATGGGGAAAAAAAAAAGTCACTGAAGTCCTCTGAAGACACAGGTCTAAGCAGGATGAAACTCCAGACACAACTGTAAGGCAAGCAAGCTATGTTTAACGGGTGTAAACTGCTACCGTATTTTGGATCCCAATATAGGATAGACAGTGCGACCAGGGAGAAAATATCTTAAAGCAAAACAACATTACCTGCCTTCTTCCCCTCCCCTCCCCAAAAAAAGGATGAACAGATTCACTCAGCACCTGCATGCAGACAGTCAGGTTAGCTTAGGCCTGGGATAATGACATAAGTCAAGACTTTTTTGTGTGTTATTTAATTTAAATATTTAAACCTCTTATTTTAATCCTTAAATCCTTACACTGTAGGCAACATTCAAAATATTATTTGGTTAGAGTATTTGGTAGATACCCCATTGTTGGTTGAAAAACTTGCCCTGAAGAACAGAACCTAAGAACCAACATTAAAAATGTCTAATCATGTTGCAGTGATCTCAGAATTCGGTGGCTTTATAGAAGGTGCTAAGACTTAGTTGAAATTTAAAAATAACAATCACTCTAGAACGAGGTGCAGATAAACACTGTAGAAGAACCTAAATTAAATCATCCATTTAGTGGTTCTTTTGGTGCTAGAGATGAAGAAAATTCACGAAGACCAGTTTTTCTCAGTATAGACACTATTACTACCAGGCATGAAATGAAACCAGAAATCCCACTCAATTTCCCACTTTTCTTTACAGGCACCCCAAAAAGTAGCTGTAACTTATTTTAAAGAATTTGTTATGGAACATAGGTTTTCAGTTTGGAAAATAACCCTAGACAAAAGACAACATGTTTCAAGAATGCAGCATGGCATCATACCAATTACCCAAAAGTACAGAATCTGAAGGAAATTAAATTGTCTTGGGACAAATCACTGTGTGCCCTACTCAGAGGACAAAAGAAGACAGGTCTATTTTTATCCTTTCATAAAACCTCAAGTTCCATAAAGGAAGCATTGGTCTCCACTTATCCATTATCAGGAACAAAATGCAATGGTTGTTGATCAAGATATAAGTGACTGACAACTCTCTTCCAGAAAAGTTCTGAAACAAGCCTGATCACTCTAGTCCCATTCATAAATCCTGGAAAAGACAGGAGAGGGAAAAACGGAAGGTGTTTCTGGTTGTGGGCAGGGGCAGTAAGACCTCTCCCTCCCTTCTCATGACCCCATCACCTACGTTGGAGGAAACCCGTTCCAACTATGTTGGGATCAGAAGATCCGGCTCCATTACGGGCTCTGTGACTTGGTTTATGTTTTCAGCCATGCCCATAAACCAGTCAGGACCCTCGGAACTGTTTTCCGAAATGCAAAGAACTTCGGCACCAGCATGACACAGGTGAGGGAATTAAGGTGCACAGGGGAACAATGACTTGCTCAAACTCACAGCCGACGGCAGAACTAGAATTCAAACCCGGGTCCATCAGACTCTAAAAGCCCTCGCCAAACGCTCCGTTTTCTCGAGAGTAAATGGAGGAATAACACTGTCTACCCAGCACGGCTCCTGGAAACGTGGAATGATCAGATGAGGGCCAAGCAGCTGAGTATCACTTCCCAAAGCGCCCGGATAGCGTGGAAAATCATTTCCACCTAACTGGAGATGGAGAGCCTGGACTGCAGCCCCGCCACTGGAGGGCCCTCAGTTCGCCAAGCCAGGCTCCCCCTCCAGACCGCACCCCACGCCACAGACACCCCTTCGGCCCGCGCGGCCCGGCCCGGGGCTGGGGAGGGGCAGAGGGTTGGGCGGAGAGCGCATCCCGCCCCAAACTCACCTGTCACCCGGGCCGCGCCACGGCGCACGTGTGGGGCCGGCGATCGCGGGCGAGGTCGGCACCCGGGTCCCCACCCCTTCCTCTCCGCACGGGTGCCACCTCTATCCGCAGCCCCCGATCGCCAGCCGACGGGACCCCAGCTTCCGCCTCTGGCTCTCCTGGCGGTCACATGACCAGAGGGGCGGGGAGCGGGGCGGGGCGTCATGTGACCGCTGGCGGGCGACTGCTGATGACGCCCGAGCCCGCGCTCGCAGTTTCAGCGACTGGGGAAGGGAGTTGAGGAAGGAGTTGGGGTCCGAGTGTGGGCAGTCCGGGTGCAGCCAGACCGAGCTGGGTCGGGCATCCAGGTAAGGCGGAAGCGGGGGGTGGCGACGGCGAGGGTGGCGGGAGGTGTCGCCTCCCTCTCGGACGCTCCGCGGGTGCCCTGAGCTGGGGTCTGTCCGCCTGGGCTGTGGTCCTGGCTCTTTGCACGTCGAGCAGTGAGGCTCGGGCAGGCTGCCTCCCTCCCTGAGACGCCGTCTCTCCATCCTTCGACCCGAGTGGGGAAAAGTTCACGAATTCTTGATGCAGATTAATCTGGTTTGAGCTGTCTTTAAAAGCAGGGCCTCGGACAGGTCGTTCAAATAAGCTCTCTGGGCCTCAGTTTTCCTTTTCTCTTCTATAAATGGTTGTGAACCTTAGCGATAATGAGAATGAAGCTCCAGGGCAGCAGTTTATGGCGCACTGTAGGGGACCTCGGAAAGGTGGTTGCTGTTTTTGTTGTGACTCTCCTCAGTTCTTTATTGATCGCCTGTTTTGCATGAGGAGCTGTTTTTTGTGCTGTGGAACATGTCAGAGGGTAGTTTAAGCTGCTCGCAGGGTAAAGGAGTGACAGCCAGCCATGTGAACAAATAGTTGTGATTAGTTTTATAAAGAAGTGTATGCGTATGTGTGTTTGAGGGAGAGAGAGGGATCGTAGTAGCATGAGGGAGGGGACAAGCAATTGCTTGTCCGGATCAGAGAAGGTTTCATAAAGATGTATCCTTGCATCTTGAAGAAGGAGATACAGCTCTGCGTGGACTTGTACAGGCCCCCCTGATTTGAAGGAGATTCAGCATAATGTCTATAAATTGTTTGCTCTTTGCCTCTCACCGTCCTCTGCAGAAAGATGAGAGAGGGAAACAGTAATAACTGGTCCTGCCTGAAGCCAGTCTTAGCCCTGCTGGGGTCTGAATATGTGTGTCTTTCCGCTTCCCCCATTCATATGTTGAAATGCTAGTACCAGTGTGATGATATTAGGAAGTGGGGTGTTTGAGAGGTGCTTAGGTCATGAGGGTGGAGCCCTCTTGAATGGAATTAGTGCCTTTATGGAAGAGGCTCCTGAGAGCTCCCTTGCACCTTCTACTGGGTGAAGACAGAGTGAGAAGGCAAGGGGCCTATGAACCAGGAAGAGGGCCTTCACCAGAACTTGACCTGCTGGCACCTTGGTCTTGGACTTCCCAGCCTCCAGAACTGTTGAGAGATAAGTTTCTCTTGTTTATAAGCTACCCAATCTGGTATTCTGTTACAGCGGCCAGAATGGCCTAAGACAAGGCCTGTTAGGGGAGGCAAAATAACATGCCTGGGAAAAACTCAGGAAACCTTCTTTTAAACTTTCTTGGAAACCATAGATAGGTACAGGGAACAAAGAGATGATTATTACTGGGGAAGGCTCCAAGAGGAGGTAGATTTAAACCAAGGTTTCTCAACAACTGCACGATTGACAGTTTGGGCCAGATGATGCTTTGGGGAAGGGGGTGTCCTGTGAATTATGAACTTAGCTGTACTTAGTAGGAGAAAGAGGGAAAAGTGCGTCTACTCCATGTATTCCCTTTGCTTCTCAATCTGAATCTTCTCCCTGGAAATACTCCAGAATTACAGAAGGAAGGTTTTTCCCAAGGTCTCTGCAAATGTAGAATTTCATTAGAGTAATGTGAATTTTGCATGCACATAATAAGGGTAGCTATTATGTGGTAGACACTCTCCACTTAGCTTGGATTATATTAGTCTTTATATACATTGTGTGTTTTGTCAGCTCCAGCTGCTATTAAAAAATAGCGTAGACTGGAGGCTTAAGCAGCAGAAATTTATTTTCACAGTTTTGGAGACTAGAATTCAGAGATTGGGGTGCTAGCATTGTTGGATACTGATAAGGGCTCTTTCTGGCTCTCAGTCAGCCCCCCTTCTTGCTATGTCCTCACGTGGTGGAGAGAGAGAACTGAGTTGTCTCTTACTCTTCTAATAAGGACACTAATCCCTTCCTGAGGGCTCTTCCCTCAGGGCATCTACACCTAATTATCTCCCAAAGGCCTCATCTCCAAATACCATCACAATGGGGGTTAGGCTCTCAACATAAAATTTGGGGGGAGATGCAGTTATCTCAGTGTTCTCCGTACTTGTTTGATTCTAAGAATCACCTGGGGCAATACATAAAAATACGGGTTTCCTCGTAGTGTCCACCAGGGGCTCTGGTTCAGTAGATCTGAGATAGTACCTATATATAAATCTATATTTTTAATAAGCATTTCAGCTGATTCTTAAAATCAGACAAGTTTTAGAAAACTATAACATTTAATGCTGTGAGATAGATACAATTATTTCCTTTTTACATGAGGGCAGACTGAAGATAGAGAAGGTAAGCAACTTAACCAGGGTTGTGCAATTTTAAATGGCATGGATGGGACAGAATTTCCAGGCATCTTTGTCCAGTGTCCATTCTCTCAAGCACTACTCTGTATTGTTGCTTATAGTGTTGTAACGATGACTTAAAATTTGTTTTTGTGTTGTAACGATGACTTAAAATTTGTTTTTATTTGTTTTTATTTTTTTTTTTTAAAGATTTTATTTTATTTGACAGAGAGAGCACAAGCAGAGGGAGAGAGAGGGAGAAGCAGGCTCCCTGCTGAGCAAGGAGCCCGATGTGGGACTCGATCCCAGGACCCTAGGATCATGACCCGGGCCGAAGGCAGCCGCTTAACCGACTGAGCCACCCAGGCGTCCCAAAGATGACTTAAAATTTGCTTCCACTTTAAAGATTTATGTGCTGGGCATTATTCTGAGTGTTTTATTATATACTTTATCTCATTCAGTTCTTACAGTAATCCTTGAGGTTGGCACTGGATGATTCCAATTTTAGGAAGGAAAAAATGAAACACTAAGAGGTTAAATAATTTGCCTGAAGTCATTCAGTTACTTAAGTGACAAAATCAGGCTTTGAACTCAGATAGTCTGGTTCTAGAAGCTGTATGCTTGACCCTTACTCCATATCGCCCCCATATTTTACTCTATAATGTAGAGAAATTCTGCTTTTACTGACAGAGTCTGGGATCTAACCAAGTCTGTAAATCTGTTAGAATCCAGAGGACTGTCAGGAATATATACAATATGTATATATAATATGTATTTTTTATTTATATTTATATATTTACAGTTTTCAGAATTCAGTATGCATATATGTCAGGAAAGTTAAAAAACTACAGGTTTCGAAGTTCTCCCTATTAAACTATTTTATCATTACTATTTTCAGTTTTTAGAAAAATGCATCATACAAGTAGTCTACTTTTTCTAACCCCTTTATGTTTTAGGTTTTTAAGAACTGTGCTGTTGTTGAATTCTTCAGAGAACTAAGGAACGTTTTGAAAGAGGGTATTCTCTCTCCTTTGAAAAATGCAGACACTTAGCTTCCCTGTGTATCGAGTGCATCTGTGTTTGGTGGCCCAGATAACAGCACGATGCTTTGGTGTCCCCTCCAGGGATATAGAATGTATATAATAGTGTGGCACTTGTGGGCTATTAGATACTCATATGGATGTTTATGGCAGTGTTATTTTCCTATGCAGTTATTATTCTGACTCCTAAATATTATTTCATTGTGTTTGAAAACTTAGGTAATAATTTCAAGATGCCCGGACGTTCCAGTTCCAGTTCAGGTTCAACTGGTTTTATATCCTTCAGTGGTATAGAATCTGCTCTCTCCTCTTTGAAAGACTTCCAGTCCTGTATCAGCTCTGGAATGGAAACAGCTTCTAGTGTTGCCTTTGATCTCGTGGAAACTCAGAGTAAGTAACAATTAAAACTTAATTCTTTTCTGTCCACTTTGGGATGACCCTGTATGGACGCATTACTCTAGGGATGTGAGATACTGCTCACCTTTCAGGTGTTCTTGGGACGGTCATTTCATCCCTCTGGGCATCGGTTTTCTCATCTTTGTTCTACATATACCACATAACAATGTACTGAGGATGAAATGAGCTTGACTCATTCGTGTGTCTTCAGATAGTTATGTGCCAGTAGAAACTGCACTAGAAATTTACAGGCTGAAACATGAAGGTTCCTGATCTCAAGGAGCATACAATCTAAAGTATGTGACATTTGTGAACTGTGAACTGTAAGGTATGCAAATGCATTAATATAAAGTTATAATAAAGTCATTTTGCAATAGTCTAACTCTGTTCATTCTTGATTACTTGGTAGACAAACTAAGCTTATGCTAGGGATACGGGCAAAGGAAGGCCTCTTCTAAAATAGAAGGATTCAACTTTGATGAACTTTATCAACATTTTTCAATCAGAAGATTTGGAAAACTGTTAATTTGCTTTCTTTGGATTAGGCTTGTTTTTATTTTATATTATATATGGAGGGAGGGGAGCAACAGTATTTTTGTGTCATTTTTAATATCACTGCTTTTCAGCGATTTGATTGTGATGTGTCCTTGTGTGATTTTGTTTATTCCGTCTAGTGTTCTTTAAGCTTTATGGATTTGTGGGCCTGTAGTTTTGATCAAATTTAGAAAAATTTCTGCCACTATTTCTTTTTTTTAAATTTATTTTGAGAGAGAGAGAGAGAGAGAGACAGTGCGTGGGCAAGCAGGGGGAGGAGTAGAGGGAGAGCGAGAATCTCAAGCCGACTCCATGCTGAGCGCAGAGCCCTACACAGGGCTTGATCCCACGAACCTGGGATCATGACCTGAGCCAAAATCAAGAGTCGGATACTTAACTGACTGAGGCACGCAGGCGCCCCTGCCCATATTTCTTCAGATAATTTTTTCATCCCTCTTCTTCTGGGACTCTAATTATATGTATATTAGACAGCTTGATAATGTCCTATAAGTCACTGAGGCTTGGTTGATTTTTTTTTAAGGTCTTTTTTTCTGTCTGGCTTTAGTTTTTTGTTTTTTGTTTTTTTTAAGATTTTATTTATTTATTTGACAGAGACACAGCAAGAGAGGGAATGCAAGCAGGGGGAGTGGGAGAGGGAGAAGCAGGCTTCCTGCCGAGCAGGGAGCCCGACCCAGGGCTCGATCCCAGGACCCTGGGAGCATGACCTGAGCCGAAGGCCGATGCCCAACGACTGAGGCACCCAGGCGCCCTGGCTTTAGTTTTAATAGTGTCTGTTGCTATGTCTTCAGGTTCATTGGTCTTGTCTTCTGCAGTCTCTGTTAATTTTGTGCAATGAATTTTAAATTTCAAATACTGGATTTTTCAACTCTAGACATAAAAAAGAATTAAACGGAATCTTCTGTCTTCTATTTCTCTTCATTATGTTCAGGTTTTCCTCTGTATTCTTGAGTATACGGAGCATAGCTGTTTTAATATCCTTGTCTGCTAATTCTGTCATTCCTGTCGCTGCTTCTTCACATTGATACTATGTTGTTGAGTGTTTGGATTTTGTTGTCTTCCAATCAAGAATTATGGCGTTTGTTTTGGCAGGCATCAAAGTAATTTGTGGATTAGGCTAATCCTTTCCAGGCTTGTTAAACTTTGTTAGTGCAGGTCAAGTTAGTGTCAATTTATTTTAGGGCCAATTTAGCCTGGTTAGAAAGCTTGGCCTTTCTGCATCTCTGTCGATTGCCCAGAGGGTTCTGTGAGATGGCTCTAGTGCTGGAGGGAATTCGAAGGTCTCCCGGTGCTGTGTGAATTCTGGGAATTGTTCACTTTACAGCCCCCAGCAATTGTTTCTCAGCGGTTTAGGATTGAGGAGATCTCTGCAGATCCCTAGAGTACTGTTTCTGCATAGCCCCGTCCTGGTGCTCTGTCTTGAAAACCTCTGATGCCTTAGTTTCCCGGAACTCCAGCCTCACCTTGGTCCTTCAAGACTTTCGTTCTCTGCTTGGCTTCTTCCTCTCTTGTGCAGGGAGGCAGGCGACTGCAGGACTTACCTGACTTGTTTGTCCCTTTCTGCGGGGCTCACGGTTCTGCTCTGCCTGTGGTCCCGCTGTCTGAAAGCAGCTGTCTCATATTTTGTCCAGCTTTCTAGTCCTCACTGCAGGATGGCGAATTCCATACCAGTTGTTCATTCGTGGCCAGCAGCAGAAGTCACCCATAATTTTTAGTGGGTAACCTCGTAAGGTCTTAACCCTCCCCAGCCTGATCTGTAGTCTATTTTTGGATCTTTGGCTTTGGCTTTGGTAGGTGACCTGGATAAAAGTCGTAATAAAATCTTCAACCATAAGAGAGAAGAGCTGTTTTAAGAAAAAAGAAAAAGAAGAAGATAGCAGGAGAGGAAGAATGAAGGGGAGTAAGTCAGAGGGGGAGACGAACCAGGAGAGATGATGGACTCTGAAAAACAAACTGAGGTTTCTGGAGGGGAGGAGGGTGGGGGGATGGGTTAGCCTGGTGATGGGTATTGAGGAGGGCACATTCTGCATGGAGCACTGGGTGTTATGAACAAACAATGAATCATGGAACAGTACACCAAAACAAATTATGTAATATATGGTGATTAACATAACAATAAAAAAATTTAAAAAAAAAGAAGAGCTGGAGTATAAACCAGTTGACTGTGTTGTTGGACAGCAGTGAATGGATTGGGAGAAATTAAAGTGCAGAAGAGCATGTGGGAAAGTCCATGAATCCTCCTCATAGCAGAACTATTCCCTTTTCCTCTTAGACTTGTAAGATTAGCACCCTTTCTGTTTACCTTTTGGGTTCCCCAGTTTCATCGCAAATTAAAATGAGGTTTGTTGGAAGAGGTGGTAGTGATCACTTAGGTATCATTTTCTCACTTTGTACTGTATATCTCTTGTTGCTATATTATTAAATTGTTGGTAAAGGGGATTCTTGTTCCCAAGTACTTGGAAGGGGGTGATGTGTATTGTTTTGGTATATTCCTGTACCAGGTTGCTGGTACTATTAACTTCTAGCTCATTTGAAATGATCACCTTTCCCTGTGTTATGTTATAGTGTGTGGTGTCCAAGCAATAGACTCTTACTGCCACCATGTCTATTTTTTTCTCTAAATGTGTTGGTATTCTGGGAATACTTACTTTCTTATTTACCTAATTGCAAAATGATATTTGTTGCATTAGGAGATTTTTCAAGTAGCTGGGGCTTATTTTTCAGATTTTTAAATTTATCATATACTCTTCTGCTTTCTGAGGCAGAAGTACTGACTTAATTTACCAAAATTGTTGTTGTAATTATCATCTTTAAGCAGTTAAATTTTCAGAAGCCCTTTAAGTTTAAATAAAATTGAGGAATGGCCCTGTTCTAAAATGTTAATATACCTCCTGCTGTGGCCTCTTCTTATGCCTCCATGCCAGTAAAGGAAGGTTTGAAAAGAACAGTTGTTGTTTTTAAGATTTTTTTTAAATTTTTAAATTTTTTATTAGAGAGAGAGAGAGCACAAGCAGGGGGAGCGGCAGGCAGAGGGAGAGGGAGAAACAGGCTACCCGCTGAGCAGGGAGCGCGATGTGGGGCTCGATCCCAGGACCCTGGGATCATGACCTGAGCTGAAGTAGACGCTTAACGACTGAGCCACCCAGGCGCCCCATCCCTACCTCTTTTTTTTTTTTTTTTTTTTTTTTTGACAGAGACAGGAGAGTGGGAACACAAGCAGGGGGAGTGGGAGAGGGAGAAGCAGGCTTCCCGCAGAGCAGAGAGCCCCTGGGATCACGACCTGAGCCGAAGGCAGACGCCCAACAACTGAGCCACCCAGGCGCCCCCCTACCTCTTTTTAAAATGCATTTTTTTAATTAGAATGAGTACAAGCAGGGGGAATGGCAGGCAGAGGGAGAGGGAGAAGCAGGCTCCCCGCTCAGCAGGGAGCCCGACATGGGGCTCAATCCCAGGATCCTGGGATTATGACCCGAGCCGAAGGCAGACGCTTAACCATCTGAGTCACCCAGGCGCCCCAGAAAAGAGCAGTTTTTCAGAAACTCATCCTTTTAAGGGCAGTTGCTCTTAAAAGGTTAGAATTAAATAGTTGGTCTCTGTATATTTAAAGTAATATTTTTAAAGTACAAAATCAAAACTAATCAATAGAGTCAAGTCTTTGAACTTCCTTTATATACTTAAGCCACTTGTATTCATGTCTGTGATGTTACCTGTCACGCTAGAGGCTTGGGTTTGCAAGGCCAGCTTTTCACAGTTGATTTTTTCCCCTCCTAAGTGATAGGTTTGCAGCTTGAGCCACAGAGTAAGGGATGGCCCTTAATTGTGATGATGTGGAAGTGGCCATACTGATCTCTTGATCTAATTTTTTTTTTTTACTTCAAATATGTGACTCTTTAATTTTGAGTAAATAGATACTTATTAAAATTCAGTTTTTTTTTTCAAAGAAGGGCATACTCTAAAGCTGAATTTAAAGATTTAATTATTTGTTTGAGGGGGAAGGGGTGGAGGGAAAGAAGAAGCAGGCTCCTCACTGAGCTGGGAGACGGATGCGGGGCTCAATCCCAGGACCCTGAGATCATGACCTGAGCTGAAGGCAGACGCTTAATGGACTGAGCCACCCAGGTGCCCCCTATAAGGCTGAATTTAAAGAAATGCAAACTTGTAGATAGATTATGGGACTGCTCTTACTGAACCCTAGGTGTTTTGAGTTCCTATTAGATAAACAAGTTCTCCTTTTAAGACCTAAATAGAAAATAAACAATTTAGCAAGGCTTCATCAGATCTGCTTTTCTCCTGATTATTTTGTAACATAATTGCACAGAGCAGATATATACAGTGGACTTTTCTGTGGCATCTATTTTCATTAGGGTAGATGATTCTTAATTTAAAAAATCACCAATATTCAGGGCGCCTGGGTGGCTCAGCTGGTTAAGCATCCAACTCTT